AGTAAACACACTTTTTTGTCAAAGCAGGCAGTTCAAATGATGATAGACTAGGAAAAAACCTCATACATCCTGTCAAGTCTTGTATTGTCCTTTCCAACTAATAAAACCTATCCATGTAGCTCATGTGTTTGCTTCTCACATAAAAAGTTCAGAGTGTGTTTAAGAAAAGTGACCACTTCCTATATTGGAGTGATGTCTTTATAAAGAGAATTAAGATAGTATCTTATTCACCTTTGGATTAAACACAGGAGGTACTCAAGATATGAGTATTTATTTTCTTGACATATAATGCTTATAAAGGAAATTTGACTTTTTAGGTACTTATTTGAAAACCGGATCACATTAGCCTTATTTTATTTTTCTCTCCTCTCCCCTTTGCCTTCAGTGTCTTTTCCCCTCACTCTTTTTAAGTTTAACTCTATACTCTTTCCTTATATCTTTTTTTCTTTTACTGCTCTTTTATCTTAGCTACCGCAAGCAGTTCGAAATTCTTAAGGCCTAGTTGCCAAGACTGGCAGTCACTCATACAGGTATTCAGGTTGTGTGCCACACAAGAGGACCGCATCTAAAGAAAAATCATTCCTCTTACAGTCATAAATTAATTTAGAAGACAATTTACAGGTGCAATCTACAATTCCAGGCCAGCAAGCTGATTTCTGGAGCAGTGTGAAAGAGCTCTGTAGGATTAACTCAGAACATAGCCCCTCCACGTACTCTGAAGACTGATGGCTACCCGGCCAGCAGCCAGGTAAGGCAGTGCACAAAGAGCTTTCAGAAGTGCCTACTCCCAAGGACGTTTCCTGATGCTCCCACGGACGTTATCTGCTCCTGTAACCAAGCAGCACATCTCGCTCTCATCCGTCTGAGAGGGCAAATGTTCCCCTTGTGAGATTGCCCCTCCCTCTGCTTGTGGGCACAAAAAACTCTGCTTGCTCTTGGTCAGCAGCAGTCTTTTCCTGCAGCTCCGACCAGATGCTGCTGAAGCTTCCCTACCTCATGAGTAATAAACGGCGTTTCTCTCTCCTCCGGTCTTCCTGGTAGTTTTTCCAGAATATCCAAACCCAGGTGCAAGTTCCAGGCCTGGAGTTCCTGTGTAACAAGCTCCCTCCCTCATAACCCTCATCTGCACTCATGGAGATTACCTATGAATATTCTCATTCTAGCAATTGTTCACATTCCCTATTGACTATATTCTGAGCATGTCTTTGTTATCAGCTGGCTATTTTCACAATAATGCCATATAATAAACAACTATAAGTCTGAGTGGCTTAAAAACAAGAATTTAGCTCTTGCTCATACATCTTTAGGTTTACTAGAATATGGCCGATCTTAGCTGGCTGGACTGAGCTGCACTGGGCTCCAAGCTTCAGGTTTGCTCCACATCTCTCTTCCTTCTTGGACAAACAACTATCCAGAACTTTTTCTTCTTGTGATCACAAACAGGAACACAAAGGGCAAGTCTAATTGGGCAAGCATATTTCAAACTTCTGCTCACATCATATCTATCCATTAATCAAAGGAAGTCACTAGGCTAAGACCAAGTTCAAATGGCAGGGAAATATACTCCGCACACCACGAAGTTATATTAAGAATGTGAAAGTGTAATAGAAATATTGAGGAAGAATAGAGACCAATAACTCAATGTAACAAACTCCTCATGTTGCTTTTCTTGCTCACCTGCTACTCTCAGAAACCTGAGTCCTTCTGACTTTGTTTTCTCACCTAGATGGGGGTTGGGAGGATGGCTGGTAGCAAGGAATGCATTCTGCCTGCCTGGGCTCTGGGAATCTCCTTTAGGGAGAGTTATATGCTACCTAAAATTTTATTTATTTATTTTTACTTTTAAAAAGATAAAAAGGCAGGCTTCATTAAAAATTCATACCAAAGCATTGCATAGACAAGGAAGTCCAGGGTGGATATTCCCAATGGTCATCACTTTCATTCCAAGATCCTTGAAGGCATGGTGAAAGGTAGTTCATCTTTGAGTTCCTCATGGCACATATTACAGTGCCTGCCACAATAGACATTTTATAAACATAAAAGTTAGATTTTATTTGGAAGACCAGATTTATTTTTTTGTAACAAGGAGATCTAAATTTTAAAGGTATTTCTTTGATTCATAGTTGCCTTACTTCACATTTGCAAATGATATACATTTTTTTATCCTTAAGCCAGTAGCAAATGAGTACATGATCCTGCAACTCCATTGACTTATTAACCTTGACAGCTGGTTGTGGGAGAAGCTTGAAAACTTTCAATTCTTGGGTTAGCGAAGCCAAGTCTGGATAAAGAGAACTGATGGACACTCTGCCCACTTGTTTCCCCGGCCTCTGAAAGCAGCTTATTTATGATGTGAGAGCAGCCTCTTTTCCCTTCTTGGGGAAGTATGAGCCAGGAAATTATGAATTAATATAATTATTTCCCAGATATTGTAGGGGTGCTTAAAGAAACAAACATTTTTTTAATCTCATGTAATATTTTTCAATCATCTAATTCTCTAGTGATGTTTTAGGCTGGATAATTCTTTGTTGTGGAGGGTTGTCCTGTGTATTGCAGTTTGTTTAGCAGTGTCTCTCTCATCTACTCTAAATGCTTGTAGAACTCTCTCAGTAATGAGAATCAAAAATGTCTCCAGACATTACCAAATGTCCTCTGGGAGTCAAAATCACCCCCAGTTGAAAACCACTGAATGAGATTAACTCAAAGAGAATTGCAGAACTGGCCAACATGTACCAACAGGAACCAAGGGAAAATTGTGAGAGTGAATATTTAGTGTTAAACCAGAGGAATCAGGTTATAAAGCTGGATAGGGGTGAACTTATGACGTGAGGCCATTTACCTATGATTCTGGATTTAATGTTTCAGCAAGGACATCTGGAGTCAGTCCTAATACACAGCCTTGGTGTTTCCTTAATACTCGGGTGTGACCTGTGCTAAATGAGACTTCACAATAATTTTGTATGAGTATTGAGAAAGAAAATGAGGAATGTTAGAGTGAATTTATTATGTGAGACTAAAACCCACCATTAGAATATGTTTCCCCAAGTAAATGACTGCACAAACATATAAGCCTTTGTTTCAGCCTCTAGTTTTGGAAGAATCTAGGAGGAAAAAGGAGAGAGGAGAATTTAATTTTATACATGTAAGTTTGAGATGCTTAACAGACATCCAGGTGGAAATGTTGGGGAGACAGTAGATACACAAATCTGGAGTTCAGGGAAGAAGTCCAAGCTTCTGAAATGCCATTCACTTCCAACTTTGAAGAGGGATGTAAACAAAGTTAAAAGCATGTAGAGGACACAATAGCACATGCAATTGTTATGTAAAGAGTTTCCACAATAAGCATTATGGGACCAAGCAGGAAGAACCTAAGGGGTCTTTATAAAAGTAGGACTAGAAACAGATCTCTCTCTTAAAAGAGAAATTACTCAATGAAACTGAAAAGCATTCCAAGTATATCGGAATTAGAAGACTTTCTAGAGTATATTTATCTCAGTAGCAAAGTGGTCCCTACTATTTCTGCAGATTTTTCCACCAAATTATATCTTTAAATAAACATTGAAAGACCCTTTGCACAGCTCATTTGTCTCTCTCAGTGAATCCATTCCTGATAGAGTGAGTTACTACCTCTTTTGCATTTCCATGGTACTTAGTCTCTTTTCTATACCTTTGTTGTTGGGCTTACCTCACTAGACTGTAATTTATCCATCTACTTAATTCTGTCTCCCCAATGAGAGTGCACACTCTTCTGAGTGGGATCTCTCTGTCTCTAGCTCCAGCACCTAACACAATGCCTGTTTGCCAAATAAATGAATGCATGCATGAATGGATCCCTGCTGAATCCTTGCAAAACAAAACAAAAAAACAATTTTGAGCAGGAGCAAAGAAATTGCTCCTTTGAATTCCCAGTACACTTATCTGTCCTGTCACTTACTTTGTTTTACTTTATATGTTTTGTATGTATATTTTGTTTAGCCTTACCATACTGTGAACTTCTTCATGTCTGAATCGCCTCTGCACTTCCATAAAATTGCCTGGAATAAAACAGATGCCAATTGGAATGAGGCGTAGAGACGGAATAAGGAATAAATGAATCACTTGCTTTGCAACCAGCAACATTGGCATCATCTGTGCTTCTCAAACTTAACTGTGCACAGGCGTCGTCTTGTTAACATTTAATCGGATCTCGTCTTAAATGAGTTGCTGAAAATATCTGAATAAATAAATAACGGTTCTAGAGAAAGTGGTATCGTACAGCACCAAACCCCCAGATCCCCAGTCGGTCTCCGAGCGACAGGGACCCGCCCCTGCCCTCCTTGACACGCCCCTACGGCTAGACCTTGCCCCGCCTCCCCACGCCCATCCCTCCTCTTCTTCCTCCTGCACCGGGTCGACTTCCGGCGTGGAGGTTTGTCACGTGCCCGGACATGGGAAGTGGTGGCCGAACGGCTGCTTCCAGCTCACGGCTCAGTTGAGAGGCGCATCTTAGTAGCGGTGGCTGCCGCCGCCGCATCCCGTCTCGGTTTCGGAGGACCCGCCTCGGCACAGCCGGGCTCGGTCCGGCCTCGCGGTAAGCCCTTAGGCCGCGGCTGCACAGTAGTCCCGGTGGCGGCGGACAGGCGCCAGGATCTGAGGCAGCTCCTCAGTTCCCCTGCAGGCTCAGCGCCCGGGGTCGGGTACCTCTTCCTCCACTGTCAGGCCTCCCTTCCTTTCCCCGCTTGTCTGGGTAAGGCGCAAAGTCCGCTTGGAGCATCCCCCATATCTTTGTTGTCCTGGGAGCTGAGAGAGCAATCCTCACACATCTCTTTATTGATCCGCCCATAGAAACCATATTTCAGTTGGCCAAAACGGCCCTGATCATTTTCCTCTTTGGCATAGACCAGGAGAGGAGAGCGTGACAATGTCTTCCCCTTGGTCCAAACCCACATTCTTTTAAATCTCTTAAGTATATTTCCCTGTGTCCGTGCACAGTTTTTTTTTTTTTTTTCTGTATGACAGTGCTCCATGCGCTGAGCTGTCTTGATTACATACGCTGCCCAACCCACATGGACACACATTGACAAGCTATTTGTCATGAATAGAATGGTCCAACTGAATTTAAATACAAAAGAACCAATACAGAGTAAGCAGTATCTCACTCCTCTGGAACGTGGTCAAGCATGGATTCTTAAATCTGGAAAATAGTTTTAGAGGATCTCTAGTGATGAATTCACTGACTTAACAGAAAAGTAAGGTAAAGACTGTAGAGTTAATCACTTTACCCTTAGAACGTAAATGCTATGGAGGCATGAGTGGCCTTTTCTTCATGACACATACATATCTGTCATATTCACCACTGCAACCTAGAAGAGTACCTCACAGTAGGCATCAGTATTTGCTGAATGAATGAGGGTCACATAGTGCCTTTCATTATGCCTAACTCCTTTATGAAGTATGCCTGGTTTTCTGTCTGTTTCGTTCTCTCTCTCTCTCTCAACCACTTACCATTTGTTGTTTTTAACCAAAGAGGGACTGCGTGGTAAATGTTGGCTACTAATAATAATTCATCTGGCCAGTTTTAACCTGAACCATTCAGTTCAGGTTTCCTCAAGAGGTATTTGCTGAGTATTTACTAAGAAAGGAACACAAAACTGCCAGAGTGTCTCACTTTCCTCTCTTCCTTCTCTCTCTCTCTCTTTCAAGAAAGTTTTTGAGATCCACAAACACGATTTCATGAAGCAATTGGACAGCAGCAGGTGCTTGATTGATTAGTAAATACAGTAAGTGCTATAGCAATTGAGAGATCAGTTTGGATGAAGATCTTTATCGAATCAACTTCATATAAACCATGAAGCGTAATTAGAATTTGGATATGGAAAAGCAACTAGGCAGAATGAATAAGAGGGCTCGGAGTGTAAGGTTTGCATTTGGGAACATTAGTAAAACGTTGAGCAAGGGCATGTGATGAAAGCTGTGTTTTGTATTACTTGTTTGTTTGGGGTCTTGGGGTTATGGAAGCTTGCAAAGAGATAACCAGATACTGTAGTGTTAAATAAATATAGTTGACATGAAACCGGGTTAATGTGTGGTCAGTGGGAACAGAATGAGAGGATAAATTATGTGTAAATAAGGGGGAAATCAACAGAATGTGGTGGCAGATTTTATGTTGACAGTGGAGGAGGAGAATCAAATATGACAGATTTCGAACCTGGACATTGGCTTACAGATGTGAGAGTTGGAAAGGCGGAACCTTTGGGAAGCTGTAGCTGTTGTTTGGTACTACCATTTTGGTTAATTTATTAAATACCTGCTTTGTCTTTGCCAAGTTCTAGGAATAAAAAGATGAGTAAGACATGGTCCCTACAAGAAGCTACTTTTAGTGAGAGAGAGAATACAACTAGTTAGGTTTGTAAGTGCTCTGTAAGCAGAGTAGAGAGGAAATGTTACAGAGGAAGAAAGGGAACTATTCTTTGTGTGTGTGTGACGACTTCACAAAAGGGCGACATTTTAGCAGGATTTTGAGGAATGAATTGGAATTTCCCAGGGAGAAAAGAATTCCCGGAATAGGAAATTGCATGAACAAAACTCAGAGATGGAAAATTAAACCGGTCAGTATCCTGTGTGGCTTGGGCATAAGATGGAGTACAGCTTTTAACACAGTGTGTGAGCCCTAGAACATATTGAGGAATTAGTAACAAAGCCATTTTGTAATAGGCAGAATGGAGGTTAATATAGATGATGCAGAGAGATGGAAAAGAAAGCAAATGGGGAAAATTGTACTTCATGGCTTCTATATTCTCTGCAGGATGGATGGTGAAGTCATTTGCAGAGAGGGAGGGGGTGGACACCAGAGCTGGGGCTTGAAAGAAGTAAGAATTTGCAACAACACTGATGGGGAATAGGAAGAGGAATTGTCAAGGGAAATGTTAAAGAATTGCTGAGCAACGCTGAAAGTCTAGCTTTGACTGGATTTAGACATTTGTACTGAATGCAGTGAAGGACATGTGGTCTTCTTAAGTGGCACATGGTAGCCCAAGAGAAGTGGAGAAAGAATACAGTTTATGGAGCTTTATAAATAGGATGAACTGGTCTACAAACAGTAAGATAACTGAAGAAGTGGTGTGGGTGTAGAGAAATGAACACTGCTTCCAGGCTAGATTGGAGAAGAAATTAAACTGGAGGCCAGATAAAATAGGAGGGAGAAAGAGGTCAGAAGACTAGAGGCTGAAATGTGAAAGAGGGAGGATCTGATTTTTGTGAGAAAAGCAATTTTTTGAGTTGGAGCAGAGATAAAATTTTCACAGATTAAGTAAAACAGAGGAGATACCTAGTTTACAAAAGTGTCATTGCGTTATAAAAATTCATTCTAAGTCATTTATTTAAAACTCATAATTTCTTTATTTTCCCATAGAAATGGCATTCGAAGTAGAAATTAATTTCCTAGGCAAGCTCACATATATGAAATACTACATTTGCATTGTAAAATAGTAATATATATGTACACACAAATATATATATTCAAAAAATAAAATTGAACAGATTAAAAAAAAACAAGTTGGTATTTTTAAAAAGATGTCGAATTATTTGAGAAAACGTAGAAACATTTTTTTTACCACAACTTTATTGAGATGTAATTCATATACCATAAAATTCACCCTTTTCAAGAGCATAATTCAGTGTTTTTTAAAGTATATTCACAAGGTTACACAACCATCACTACTAATTCAAGGACATTTTCATCACCCAAAAAAGAAACCTCATACCCATTAGCAGTCACTCGCCATTCCTCTCTGCCCCCAGCCCCTGACAATCACAAACCTTTCTGTCTCTATGGATTTGTCAACTTTGGACATTTTATATAAATGGAATTATAAAATATGTGGTCCTTTTTTTTTTTTAACATGTGCTTTTTAACTGGCTTCTTTCACTTAGCAGAATGTTTTAAGGATTCATCAGTGTTGTGGCATGTATCAGTGCTTTGTTCCTGTTATGGCCAAATAACATTCCACTATGGGCATTATATTTTATATTGTAGTATCAGCTCATTGGTTAATGGACATTTGTCTTGTTTCCACTTTTCAGCTATTGTGAATACTTCATGTACATGTTTTTGTGTGGATGTGTTTTCAGTTCTCTTGAGTATATACTTGGGAGTGGAATTGCTGGATCATATGGTAACTCCATATTTAACTTTTTGAGGAACCACTAAATTGTTTTCCAAAGTGGCTGCACCATTTTACAATTACCAGCGATTTGAGAGTTCCTTTTTCTCCACATCTTTACTGACACTTGTCTTTTTATTTTAGCCATCCTAGTGAGTATAAAGTGGTTGGTATTTCATTGTGGTTTTAATTTGCATTTCCCTAAACTAATGCTGTAGATCATTTTTTCGTGTGATTATTGTCATTTGAATATCTTTGTTGAAATGTCTAGTCAAATCCTTTGCTAAGTTTTTAATTGGGATAGTTTTCTTTTTATTGTTGAATTATAATTGAGTCGTAAGAGTTTTTTATATATATATAGGAACATTATATTTAAAGATTTAGCATGGGTTTTAAATTATTTTCTTAAATTTTTTTTTTCTTCGCATTATAATACTTGGTGAGCACTTCCAAAGATTTTAGAATCTGATAGCACCGGTTCTCTAATTTCTTTTCCAAACATACACCTTTTTATAATGTAGGTGTGTTAATATATTAAATCATTCTTCCTATGCTATTCTTATTCTTATAATGTAGGTGTGTTAATATATTAAATCATTCTTCCTATGCTAGTTAGCCAAAAATAAGATTTTTTTAGTCATAAATGGAACAATGTAAGAATGATTTTGAGAATGAGCTTAATAGCTGTACTCTGAACTTTTTCAGCTGAGTAAAGATGACAGCAATCAAGCATGCATTACAAAGAGACATTTTTACACCAAATGATGAACGCTTGCTGAGTATTGTCAATGTCTGCAAAGCAGGAAAAAAGAAAAAGAATTGTTTTTTGTGTGCCACAGGTGGGTATTTGGTAAGAAAAATTTGTTTGACATTCTTTTATTCTTTTATCCCCTAGGGGACTTTTCCTCCTCGTTTTAAATATTCTCATTGTCTCTATAAGTGGAAAAAACTATTGGGCCAACAAATGCATTTTTTAATTGCTTTTAATTAAATACTGAGTAGAAACCAAAAAATTTCTATAACATATATATAAGATGTGAAGATTAATCACACCGTGAACACTTGTGTCCCCACCACCCAGTATAAGAAGAATATTACCATTACTTAGAAGTTTCCCGTGTGCCTTTCCCTGATCCCATTCCCTTCCCTCCCTATTTAAGAGGTAACTAGTATCCTGAATTTTGGTTTCCTATTTCCTTGCTTTTCTTTATCATTTTATAATATGTATTTATAATTATCACATAATATATTGTTTTGCATGTCTTTGAACTTTGCATAAATTGAATCATAGTTCATGTATTCATTTGTGACTTTTTCCATTCAATATTATGTTCATGTTTGTGAGTTTTAGCTCTCTTCTTTCATATAGCGATAATTCCTTCATTTTCACTGCTGTGTGGTATTCTGCTCTATGAGAGTACAGTTTACTTACCTGTCCTACTAGTGATGAACATTAGGTTTGTTTCTAGGTTTTGCTATTCAAATAGTACTTATATGACATGGTTGTCCTTGTCTCATGTATACAGGCAATAATTTTCTAGGGTCTATATTTAAGTGCAGAGTTGCTGGCTCATGGGCATGTGGATTTCAACTCCGATACCAAATTATTTTCAAAAGTAGTTGTACAGGTTTTCACTCTCACAAGCAGTATGTGTTTTGAGTTCTTCACATCCTAGTCAAAACTTGATTTTGATACTCGGTTTCCAACAGACTGTTAATTGTTTCCAGTGCGGTGGATGTAAAATAGTATTTCATCGAGATTTTACATTGTAGTTCCTTCATAATGAAATTGAGCCTCTTTTCATGAATTGATGAGCCATTTAGTTTCCTTATTTAAGACATTGCCCGTTTAAGCCTTTTGCTCATTTTCCTATTGTATTGGTTGTCCTTTTATTGATTTATTTAAGTTCTTTATATAAGTTGGATACTAATCCTTTGTTGGTTATATGAGTCCTATTTTGTGGCTTATGTTTTACTTTCTATGATGACTTATAATGAAATTTATAATTTTAATGAAATCAAATTACTCAATCTATTCTTTTATGGCTTTTCCTTTTTGTGTCTTATTTAAGATATCTTCCTTCCCCTGGAGTAATAAACGTATTCACCTATATTATAAAAGTTTAAAAATTTTACCTTTCACATTTTAGTCTTTAATTTACCTATGTGCATGTTTGTAGTAGTGAGTGTGTGTTTCTGAGTTCTTATATCTGGTTTTTATTTTGTCTTGTTTTGGTATTCTTTCACCTAATTTTTAGATTGAAATTGTCAAGTTCCATTTTTTGTTGGGATTTTGATTGGAATCGTTTTGAATTGATAGTTCACTTTGGAGAGAACTTACATTTTTATGATATTGAATCTTGTCTATCAACATGGTACAGTTTGCACTTATCTAGGTCTTTAATGTCTTTCAGTAAGGTTTACAGTTTTCAAGGCTTTCAATAAGTTTTACAGTTTTAAAAGCTTTTGCACATGTGTTATATTTATTCCCAGGTATTTCTTTATTCCTAGATGTTTTTGATACTATCATAATAATAACTCATTAATACATTTCTAAGACTTCATTTTTTAAGAGCACTTTTAGGTTTACAACACAATTGAGAGGGAGCTACAGAGATTTCTCATATGGCCTTTGTCCCCACACATACATAGACTCCCCCTTTATTAATACCACTCATAGCAGTGGTACATTTGTTACCATGAATGAACCTACATTGACACATCACAGTCAGCCAAAGTCCATAGCTTACCGTAGGGGTTACTCTTGGTATCATACATGCTGTGGGTTTGTACAAATGTATAATAACATATTCATCATTATAATATCATACAGAGTATTTTTACTGCCCTGAAAATCCTCTATGCAGTCTGCCTGTTCATTTCTTCCATAACCCCTAGCAATCACTGATCTTTTTACTGTTTTCATAGTGTTACTTTTTCCAGAATGGCATATAGGTGGAATTATACAGTTTATAGCCTTCTCAGATTGATTTCTTTCATTCAGTAATATGCATTTAAGGTTTTTCCATGTCTTTTTATGGCTCAATAGTTCATTTATTTTTAGTGCTGAGTAACATCCCATTGTCTAGACATACCACAGTTTATTTATCCATTCACCTATTGACAGACATCTTGGTTGCTTCCAAGTTTTGGCAATTATGAATAAAACAACTATAAACATCCATGTGCAGGTTTTTATGAAGACATACATTTCAACTCCTTTGGGTAGATGCCAAGGAGCATGATTGCTGGATCATATGTTAAGGGTATGTTTGGTTTTGTAAGAAATTGACAGACTATCTTCCAAAGTGCTGTACCATTTTCATTCCCTCTAGCAATGTATGAGAGTTCCTGTTGCTCCACGTCTTCTCTAGCCTTTGGTATTGTCAGTGTTCTAGATTTTGGCCATGCTAATAAGCGTGTAGTGGTATTGCAATGCTTTAATTCACATTTCCCTTACGCTACATGCCGTGAAGCATCTTTTCATATGCTTTGTGATCTGTATATCTTTTTTTGGTCTGTTAAGGTATTTGGCCCATTTTTTAGTCAGATTTTTTTTTCTTACTGTTGCGTTTTAAGGGTCTTACTACTCAAGGAATCTGCCTTTGACCTTCTAGTCTGATCTGGAAACTTTCATTAGTATTCTGAGCATTGCTCAGTCATAGCATTTGTTGTGAAGTATTACTCCTTTTTTTAGCATTGTGTACAGGCACCTGACAGCTATATTTTCAATGAGTGAATGAATGAAGGAAGAAGTAAGTGAATGATATTTCTAATGAATGTGTGTATTTTATTCAACAGTAACAACTGAACGCCCCGTGCAGGTGAAGGTGGTCAAAGTCAAGAAATCTGATAAAGGAGATTTCTACAAAAGGCAAATTGCTTGGGCCCTTCGAGACCTTGCTGTGGTAGATGCCAAGGATGCCATTAAAGTATGTTTTATTTAGTTTTTTGACCTGTGTTCAAAAAGTATCTTTCATTTTATACCATAGTATTATGTCTTCTAAAATGATCTAACCTTTTTTTGTGTGTGTAACTCACTAGTCCATCAGCTAATCAAGAATTAGTCTAAAGTACATTACTCAACCTTTAATTCCCCCACTCCCCACTCTCAGGCTACTAAAAATAAGTACATAGTATGTTTGTTTCATTTTTTTTGAGCTACAATTATGTTTGTGCACAAGCTACATAAACGAGAGCAAAGTTTGACTCAAACTTTATACATTTATTTGTTTAGATCAGGTAGACTTAGTATAAAATCCATAAATTAGTACAGATTTTAAAGTGGTGTGTTATGTGAGTGGTTTTTTAAAAAAATCATTGTTCTGGTAAAACTTAGTTCAAAATCATATATAATATCAAAATGAGTCTTAGTCCTCACATTATTAGTCTACATTATTAATGTAGAATCATCAACTGAGGCAGCTCACCTTTTGGGCCATGGTCTAATGTTTGTGGCTCAAATAAAGGAAGTGATAGTGAGTCACACACCTTATCCTAAGGAACTTAAAGAATAAGATATAAGACTATAAATTTTACACCTTTCAATTAGGCCATATTCAAACTCCAAGAAAGTCGAGTAAGATGATAATCATGTTAAAGGACCACCTTTATTCCTGACACTTCAAGGCTTTTCACAGCAATACCTATTTTTTTTTCCTAAAGAAATCAAGTAGAGCTTCTTAGGTTAAATCAAGTGCTTCCTCCTCCTCTTCCTCTCTAACTCTGCCCCTCATCCTCCTCTGCGGCCCAACAGTACCTCCAGAATGCCAGGGAATGCTTGGACCAAATCCACTTATACTTTTGATGGGGCTAATAGCAAGCCTTAGATTAATGTCATTCCAGGTGCCCTTTGATTTAACTCTGCAAGTCTCATACATTTATTAACAAGGCACAAAGGAGTAAAAACTACCTTTGTAGAATAATGTAATAACAAAATGCTGGTTTTACCCTTACCCTGGTATAAGGCCATGAGGAAATAAAAGCTGAACAAAATGACAGGCAGTTGAGTCATATGCAAAAAATTTTTAAATGAAGCAAGAACAAGTTTAGGAGAGTCCTGCATATCTGTAGAATTCTTTCAAATATAGAGAATGCCTTTAAGTATTTTAGGCAAAGCAGGTCTTTTCTTTATTCCTAAGGAGCAACCAATTTTTAGAAAAATGTGGAAACAGGATTTGGCAGATGCTTTGGGTCTGTACATGTGTATGTATTGGAAAGAATATTAAAATGGGATTTTTAGAGAACTAATTATTTAACAAATAATTTCTGTTACCATGGGAAAGGATCAAGAGTAGAGACTTTTTTGGTAGATTTCTGTTTAAGAAAAAATACTGTAAGAACATTTTAGACACACATCTTTATTAAAAAACAAAAACAAAAACTTTTTTCCTTCAGTAGTTTTGCATTTTACAACCCTCTTGGTTTGCATTATTCTCTAACATTGCTGAAGGCTTTCTCACAGCTGATGCCTCATTGCTGACTTGCTTAATGGATTTTTTTTTTTCATTTTATGTAGGCACCTTGGTGTGTGTGTGTGTGTGCGCGCTATATATGGATATAAAACATAAAATTTTTATACATAGCCTAACATTAGCCATTTAGTACCACACATTGATTTGTGTGAGTGTTGCCACTGGAGCACTCATTTACTCTTATGGCATTATGGGAAATATTCCCAGGGAAGAGACCATTTCCCATCAAGTTTCATATTAATTGCCAATACTCTTAGATATTTCATAAGTAATAATGCAATTACCTTTTCTGCTTATTGAGATATAATTAAACTAGTAGTTCCATGCTGCTCTAGTGTAATTGTATCACAGGTCAAGTCTTGATCCCTAATTAATCTCAAATCTTCACAGTAAGTCTGATATAACTTCCCTTGCTTTTAAGGTCTTTATTTAAATTTTGTTCCCCGTAAATAACACTTTAAATTGATTGAATATACTGTAGTTAGCCTTCGGTAGAATATTAAGACATTCGAACCTATTTTTTAATTCCTTGGATGTGAACAAAAGTATACATTTTTTTTTTTTCATTTTTTATATAGTAGTCAAGTAGTTCTACATTCAAGGGAGAATTAGCCTAGCATGAAATTATTGCTATCATGTCACTCAAGAGACATGTAGAGAGCACAGTTCAGTTCCTTCACATGACTTGAGCTTTTCCTTACTTTTGAGACACCTTTATTTGTTCTATATGTTCAGAATTAAAAACAGTTAGGAGCAGTTCCTATTTTTCACCTGATTTGTTTTTGAAAACCACTCCAGGATATAGATTGTATTTTTTTTCTTATGTGTTATGATTAGAAGATATATTCTTTGTCAAGGAATTAGTATCAAATTACAGTTATGAATAATAGTACCTTATCAAAGAAAAAGTGTAACTCTAAAACCCCATAGGCAATTTAAAAAGAAAAATTAGGTCTACATCAAAACTAGAGACCATTGTCATCTTATACACTAGGAAACTGAGACATCTTGTACTTCTACTCATAGACCTAAGGGGACTAGGAAAAAAATTACCAAAACACTGTTTTTTATCCAGCTGCTTCTGGGAAGAAAACAAAGTTTTTGCTATAATTTGAATTCTGTGAGCCGTTCTCTGCAAGTCACTTAGCTGATTTTTAATGGTGATTTTTTTCAAGAACAGCTTCAACTTTTTTTGTTTTATTGAAATACAGATTTTACAATAATGAAAATGGGATATGATCAAAAACAATTATCTTTTGTATATTTTTATTTCAGGAAAATCCTGAATTTGATTTACATTTTGAAAAAATATATAAATGGGTGGCCAGCAGCACTGCTGAAAAGAATGCATTTATTTCATGCATTTGGAAGTTGAATCAGCGCTATCTCCGAAAGAAAATTGATTTTGTCAATGTTAGTTCACAGCTTTTGGAAGGTAAAGTTAAATAAAAATGAACATGTAAAATCAAGTGTGTGTATAACTGAATATATAATATTATATAATATATAATATATAATTTGACATTATTTGAAATAATTAGAACACTTTTAAAATAATATTTTATTGCAGGAGTGATCCATGCTTGTTATAGAAAATTGATACATTAAATTAAATAAATAAAAATTACACATAAACGTAATCTTCAGAAAACTACTGTTAATATTTTGTTAGATATTCTTCTAACCTTTTCTGTATGCATACGTTTTAAATAAAGAAATCTACGTTGTTTCCTACTATACTTTTTCATATCATGTATTGTGAACATTTTTCATGTTACTAAATACTTATCCAGCATTATTTTTAATGGCACCATAGTATTCCATTGTATGGATATACCGAATTTATTTACTCACATTTTTAATTTTCCAATCTTTGCTTATTTTATAAAACTCTGAGATGAATATCTTTGTAGCTATATTTTTGTGCAGAATATAGCTGTCGCAGTTAAGAACACAACTGGAGTGCAACTGCCTGGGTTCAGATCCTGGCTTTGTCACTTACTAGATATGTGACTTTGAGTTATTCTATATTTTAGTTTTCCTTGCCTCAGAAATAGAGATAATAATAGAATCTGCCCCACAGGATTGTCGTGAGGATTAAGTTAATATATGAACATGATGAAAGCAATACTAGGTATATAGTAAGTACTCAATAAATATTAACTATTATTATCAGGATAAAATCCTTAGATAATTTTGATCTATATATCTTTAGGAATGTTACTAAGGATTCTTTTGTATTACAAAATAAAAACTCTACTGTTAATTATTGAAAATAGGAGATTTTATTCTTTTAAAATTTCTTTCATAAAGACAAACATTGTAAGAAAATGGTTCTGTATGCCTTATGGATGCAATTTGTATTGTATTCTTTATCTCAAAGTGGGCAGTTGTAATGACAGTATGCAAGTAAACAGTTGTTGCTCTGTTGAGAAAAAAAACTTAGATTTATCCTAAATTATGTATTTTTGAAAGAAAACTTAAGTTTGTCCTAAGTTGTATATTAACGTTTAAAATTAGAAGCTTTTATTTTGTCAGGTTGAAACATCTGAAATTGGCAATATTCTGCCATTCTGACCTATAAAATTGACAGTTTCAGATACTTCAGACTATTCCTTTACTTAGTCACTTGCCTCTGTCTTTTCTCTATTTTGTTTCACTTATTCCTTTTCTGTTTGGCCATGGATCTTCCTCTCTTTAAATGTAGTATTCGTTCTCATCGGATATAAATTAGTGATTCCATTATGGGTTTCAGGCTTAATCCTTGGAACTGGCAGAGACAAGTCACATCGTCAGGCCCTGTGCTCCTCCCCACAGTGAGGCTGGCCTTGTGTAGGAGCCCTCAGGGTTGCCCTATCACCAACATTAGACCCCAATGTCTTGGTGATTGAGTGTGTTGAGAGAATGACTTTCAAGGAATTTATGGTAGTTTGTCATGCCTTGAATAGTGGTTTAATTTATTTTATTTTATTTTATTATTTTAGGGTTGAACATTCTGTTAAGTGAATTTAAAAGCTTGCCGTTCTGTTTTCAAATATTACATACCTCCAGATGTTATTTATTGCCTTAGATGTATTTTAAACCAATATATTTCATTAAGTCAACAATATCAGAACATACCTGTATTTACCTCATTAAGGATCCTTAAGGATCTTCTCAGTATTCTTAAAATTGATCTTAATTTGAGTTAATATTTATAAAAATAACCATTACTTTGGTTTAGTAGAGTTCAGGGAGTAGCTTTCTTAATGTCTACAAGCTTGTTTTAATGTTTTACTGGACTTTAAAATCATGGCTGGTAATTACCATTTTAAAAAAATTAGATTGTCTCTAAGCTTTAGAAAACAAATTATCACCGTCTCTTTTTTTAAGAGATAAATAATCATACAAGTAAGTAAGACTATTCATTGTGAATGTTAGCAGTGGTGACTTTAGTATTTTTTATTGGTGACAGTTGAATGTTCATGCTAATAATTGGGGTTTCTTAGTAGAATATGGTTTTCAAAAGAGGACTTGGTTAGCAATTGAAGAAGAGTGAAGTTTTCATTTGGCCTTTTGTTCATTCTTGCAACTAAATTTTTAAAAATCTTTGACTTGAATCCTTAAATGCCGGTTTGAACTGGAATCTTGTATGTTCTTTTAATTGCTTCAATTTTGTCCTTTCTAACTGTTTTATGACTAATCCATTGTGAGGGTGTGTCTAGATAAAGGTTTGGGGCTTTGAGTGAAAATAACTAGACTAAATGCATGAGTCACAGCTGACCTAAAAATAATTCCCAGGAAGTGATCTGTTTCCCACTTTTCTCCTCCAAGGACTAGTCAGTACTGTTTCTGAAAAGACTAAGAAAAAATAGAAAGATAAATGTATTTTTAGTAACTGTCAGAAAATAAATAAGTAAAAGGAACTCTCGAAATTTAGCTTCTTATGGATCTTTCCACTTTGTAGTTTATATTGACATTGTCTTTAAACCTTGATTTTAGCATGAAATTCAAATGAAATATGGGTAGTATTTTAAAAATTTAAACCTGTATAATTTTCTACCCAGCTAATCTTCTTTGCTTACTTTCCTCTGCTTTTTTCATACCTTTTTATTCTCCAGAACTGCCTAAAGTTACAGAAGGTGCGTAACACCTTTCCTTGTTTTTCTATTCTGTATATTTTTATTACTTGACATTGTTATGTACTGTTGGTTGCATATTTTATGAAATTGTGTTCAGGGACAAGTTTATTACTACAAAATCCATATGGTGATAAAATTAATGATAGTATTAATTATTAACGTCCAAGGACTGTTTCATGGAAGAGAAAATACTTCTGAAGCGGTTGTGATCATTTAAAATATTTGTTTATTTTAAATATCTACTTGTGTAAAGAGCTGTACTGAATGTTTTGGTCAGTCCCTATTTCCTAGTGGCTGATACACGGTCACACACATGAAAGTTTAACATTTCCACAGTGAACTAAAATGTACTTACTCAAAGGACAAAGAGCTTGGGGTTGCCACTCTAAAAACTTATATACTGTAACCTACAATTGCCTGTACCAAAAGTTTTAAGTCTCATTTTTTTTTCTGGGACATTATCTAAATTTGCCTAATTAGTATTCTTCAGAGTAAGTCCTTTGTTAATTTGAATTAGCTGTTTTTTGTTGTAGGACAAAATAAGGTATGTCAAGTCACGTTGAATGTAAATATTCATTGTTTTCAGAGAAAACAATGAATATTTAAAGCATCCAGAGTTCGTGATTTAAATCTTGTCCCATTATTTGATGAAAATCTGTAACTTTAATTACAGGTTTATTTAGGGGTAAAAATTATTTTTTTCATTTTTCCTCAACCTCAGCTTTATATAAAATCTCACAAATTGAACTGAAACATTTATCTAGAAAGCACCTCAGATTTGACCTCTTGGTCTTTTGTTATGAAGCACGAAGACCATTTATATTTTGTAATTTCAAACAGCCCTGTTGCTGTTGCTCTTTTATCATAGAGTTATTGAGAACACTCCTATAACTGACCTTTAGAAATTTTATCAATCTGTGTGTAATTTGTTTAAACAAAGTAATAGAAAATTTAGTTAATACTTTCAGTGCCCAAAATAAATTGTGACTTGTAGATGCATTTTTCGTTTCAATTAAAAGTTACTTGAAAAAATGTTACAAAGACAAAAATAACAGAAGAAAAATGTTACCTGGGAAAAAAAAGGAAAGCAAATTGTTTTCATGTGTTCTGAATTCATAATCGTTGTTTTGTTAGAGCAGCAATCACCTCAGGTAGGAAAGAAGAGTTAGGCTTCTTTCCATGTGTTTGTTTTGTTTTGTATTTGTCTTTTATTTTAATACAGTTTGGGAAATTGTGACTAAAGCCTGTTTTAACATTTGTAAGTCAGTGAATTAGACTGCATGCTTTTTATTTGTTACAATAAACGTTATAGTAACATACGCCATTCTTTATAAAAATAAGTTTTTTTCATATATTTTGAATTTTATTTTTCAGCCACTAAATGTGACCTGTGCTTCTAATTGACCTTACCTATAAGTACCATATTATTGTCCTTCTTACTTTTTTACTACTTTATTTTTAATTTTTACCTCTTTAAGAATCTGTTCCAAGTGGAGAAAATCAGAGTGTGACAGGAGGTGATGAAGAAGCAGTAGATGAATACCAAGAATTAAATGCAAGAGAAGAGCAGGATATTGAAATAATGATGGAAGGCTGTGAATGTGCAATCTCTAATGCTGAGGCCTTTGCAGAAAAGTTATCCAGAGAGCTACAGGTGCTAGATGGGGTAAGACTTTCTTGCAATCTATGATTTGTGATGTGCAGTGAATTGAGAAGACTGGTGTTCACATTTTACTGCCTCAGTGTGATTATTGCTGTCTTTCTCTATAAGAGCATTACCAGCTGCCATCAGTCTTTCAATGTTCTTGATCATTCTTATTAGGCCAATGAAGGCAGTTGGCTCCAGTCTTAGCTTTTGGAAGGTTCCTAATATGAAGTGATGGAACTAAAAAGTAGCCAACCAGAGGCAATTTGGGGGTTGATTCTCCAGCCTCTGAAACACCTCAGAATAGTTCAACACAGAAGAATAGCATTTTTGTTGTTTGAAAAAAATAAGTACAAATTAGAGAGGAATTGGGCTGAAATAAGTGAATCATTTACCTAAAGGGAGCAGAATAAGTGTGATGAAAACAGGAGAGTCAGACGAAAAGGATGTTTGATTCTTCTGCTAAAATATTTTGGAATAGATCCTTTAATTTGTAGTTTCTGAATCTTTATCTAAATGCACATCTTTAGAAAGTGAAAGAGCCAGAAGTAGTACTAAATGTGAGGAAATCTAACAAACATTTGGGGTTTTTTGTTTTTTGTTTACACAAGGTAAGCATTTAAGAAAAACCCTCAGAAAATAAGGATTTTTTTTTTTACAGTAGAGAAGAAAAGCTTTATTAGAAGGGAAAGTACACTCCAGATGTGGAAGCGGGCCTGAGCAAGAGAAGCATGGCTCAAAAGGCCTGGTATCAAAGCCAGAATAAGGAATATTTTAAGACTTAAATAGTTGTGATCTTTTATACATGATAGGTACAGAAATTATGAGGTTGAAATTAGGCCCTGCGATTACGTGAATAGTCAAGCTTATGAATTTGCAAATGTTACTGAAACTAAAGCCTAAGAGAGACTTCTAGATGTTAAAGTGGAAATTGTCCTGGACAAATTCAAGCCCTAACCCTGCTGCCTAAGATTTCATTGTGTCTGAGCCCTCCTTACTTTATAGTTTGGCTATACTAGTTCAGTGATTATGATTATATAAAATAGCATATATGAAATTACAGCATCAACTGTACAATGATATTCTTTTAATTCTTTGTCCAAGTTTTCTCATCATACTAGGTTACCTGCCTTTTTTTTTTTTTTTTGGTATGGCAGGTGAACACACAATGCAAGTTACCTGCCTTCTTAATGTGGCTTTATATTTTCTTTTCTAATTAATATTTGCATATATGTTCCAAGTCATATTGCTTTGCAGTGTTATTTTGGATTTGGCAGCTTCCATATTTCAGGGAATTTAGAATCAATAGAATCATTTAAAAAACAATGGTAAAGAGATGGTGGTTTGTTACTGCTTTGCTTGGAAAAAAACATAGTTGAAAATGAAAGATAAGAAGAAGAAGACCATAGAAGGAGCTATCTTTTGGCCATATGCTCTTCCATATTCTGTTAGTGCAAATTGTACTAGCCTTAGTTCCATGTAACTTTTAAAGGCTGGTATACCACTGCTACCTTCTTGACTAAGGAATTACATAGGTGATGATGCTTTTATTTAGGATTTTACATGAATGTTAAGTATAAAAAATTCCTAGAGCTAGTAGAATTGGAAGAAACGTTACTGATGAAGTAGTCTAATGCCCCTCAGTTTACAAAAATGAGAATACACCGTTCATTAATGATGATACGTTGTAGGGCAGAACCGTACTTGTGTGGTCTGTGGAAATATAAAATATTGACACCTGTTTCCTAACCTTGATGTAAGAGGCAAGTAAGTATACTATCTTGAAATACTGTGTAAAATGTGGAATGTAAACATAAAGTGATAAAGTAAATGTATAGATGTACATGTCAACCTTTGTTACTCTGCTGTCAATGAGATTTGGCAGTATTTCATCTTTATAGTACTTATACATATTTAAATAATGTGAAGTGTTACTTTTGTTTTTAATTTCGTAGGCCAACATCCAGTCAATCATGGCCTCTGAAAAACAAGTGAATATCCTTATGAAGTTGCTGGACGAGGCTTTAAAAGAGGTGGATCAGATTGAATTGAAACTGAGCAGTTATGAGGAAATGCTCCAAAGTGTGAAAGAACAAATGGATCAGATCTCTGAAAGCAACCACCTAATTCATCTTAGTAACACTAATAATGTAAAGCTCCTATCTGAGATAGAGTTCCTTGTGGTAAGTGCGATTATAAATTACCAACAATAAAAGAAAAAAATCTCATGATAATATATAAAAGCCATTTGTAAACATTTTCAAATTTTCTTACGAGAGCAAGATTTAAAATAATTCCAAAGACTTAGTGATAGGATTGAGTAGCCACTTACCTATAAATTTTCCTAAATTACATGTGTACCTGGTGTATTTACATATATTCCAGAACCACATGGACTTGGCCAAAGGTCATATAAAGGCCCTTCAGGAAGGAGATCTTGCTTCTTCCAGAGGCATCGAGGCCTGCACCAATGCCGCCGATGCCCTTCTGCAGTGCATGAATGTAGCTCTCCGACCAGGTATGCTTGTTGGAGATGATAAAATCTGACCAAGAATCTGAGACTAAGCCTGTAACTTAGTATAATGCTTATGTGGGCAAGTGGTTTAGGGTTATATCATTAGCTATACAAACACATTCTACTTATTTACAAACATATTTCTATTGGCACTGAGAACTTTTTAATTTCATTTCCTTCTGACTGACCATCAGTGGCTCAAGTTAACACCATGGTTTTTCTTCATTACAGTCCATAAAACCTCGAACAAAGTGGATGCTTGGGTTAGACCAGAGAACATAAGGTTTTGCTGAGCCAGTGGTTCCAAAACGACTTGGCATCGGAATCACCAGGAAGGCTTGTTAAAAGACAGATAGCCAGGCCTCACACCCAGATTCAGTAAGTCTGGGCTGAGGCTTTAGAATCCACACTTCTAACAGTTTCAAGATGTTGCTGAGTAAGGATGGCACTTTGCTGTCCATTGCATTATACTATTTTTTCCCTGACCTTTTTTTTTAAGTTAATTTTATTTTTATGTTGACGTTGGTTAATGAAATCTGGTAAGTTTGAGATTACTGTACGTTTTAACAGTAGGACACATATATATCTACATTGTGTGTTCACCTCCCATAGTTAGATTTCTTTCTGTCACCATATATTTGACCCGTTAACCCCATCTACCCTTTGATAACCACTAGTCTATTGTCCATATCCATGAGTCTCTGTTTGTTTGTCCTGCTCATTTGTTGCTTTTAGGTTTATATCCCACATATAAGTGATAGCATATGATTTTCAACTTTTTCTATCTGGCTTATTTCGCTTAGTATGATTATCTCGAGGTCCATCCAGGTTGTCACAAATGACAGTATTTCATCTCTTCTTATAAATGAGTAATATTCCATTGTATATATGTACCACAGTTTCTTTAGCCAATCATCTATTGTAGGACACTTCGGTTGCTTCCATGTCCTGGCCACCGTGAATAATGCTGCTATGAACATCGGTGTGCAAATATCTTTTCTGATATGGGTTTTCAAGTCTTTGGGGTAAATACCCAGTAGAGGGATTGCTGGATCATATGGTAGATCAATTCTTAGTTTTTTGAGGAACCTCCATTCTGTTTTCCATAGTGGCTGTACCAATTTGCAGTCCCACCAGCAGTGTATGAGGGTTCCTTTTTCTTCGCATCCTCTCCAACACTTGTTAACTTGTCCTGTTAATAATAGCTATTTTAGCAGGTGTGAGATGGTTATCTCATTGTGGTTTTGATTTACATTTCCCTTACAGCAATGTTGAGCATCTTTTCATATACTTCTTGGCCATGCGTATGTCCTCTAGGGAGAAGTGTCTGTTCATGTTCCCTGCCCATTTTTGATTGGATCGTTTGTTTGTTTTTTTTTGTTATTGAGTCGTATGAGTTCTTTGTAAATTTTGGGTATTAGGTCCTTATCAGAGGCCTTGCTTGCAAATATATTTTCCCATTCGGATAGTTGTCTCTTTACCTTATTGACGATTTCTTTTGCTGAGCAGAAGCTTTTCAATTTGATGTAGCCTCATTCATTTATTTTTGCTTTTACTTCCCTTGCCTTTGAGGTCAAATTCATAAAATCCTCTTTAGGTTCAAAGTCCTTGAGTTTAGTTCTTATGTTTTCTTCTATGCATTTTATTGTTTCAGGACTTATAGTCAGGTCCTTAATCCATTTTGAGTTAACTTTGGTGTGTGGTGGTAGACAACAGTCCAGTTTCATTCTTTTGCAAGTGGCTTTCCAGTTTTCCCGGCACCATTTATTAAAGAGGCTTTCCTTTCTCCACTGTATGTTTTTGACTTTTTTGTCAAAAATTATTTACACACGTAAATATA